ACTATCCAAAACTTTGCAAGGTAATTCAACGCAAATAGGTGGACCATTCACACGTTGTGGATCAAAACAAAACAGTAATTTAGTGCAAGGTTACCCATTAATATGCAGGGATAAAGGTAGTAATACTAATTACATCTCATGTCTCACATTATTTAAAATATATTAGAACTCATTAAATTTGTGATATTGTATTTCAAGAGTACATTCCGTTTATTAGGGTTGAAATTCATTTACTTTCACAAATGGAAATATTTTATTAGAATATAATAAAATAATGATTATCAAAGTAAAACTTAGTATATGTCAAAATACTAAAATTTAGAGTATATTTTGGATAATATGAGACCTATAAGTCTTTATTAGAAAATGAAGGATATCGTGAAATATTTTTTTAAATATGGAACTAGGAGTTTTTAACAAAAATAATTCTCTCATCGGTAAAGACATTTTTTATTTTATGATTATTTTTTGTCAGCCTCCATACATGTAATAATGGGTCACTTTAATTCTCTCATCGGTAAAGACATTTTTTATTTTATGATTATTTTTTGTTTTTTATTTTATGATTATTTTTTAATGAAATAAAATTAGCTAATTTATATATTAGAATAATCATTCATATTATAATATATTTATATTTTTTATTTTATGATTATTTTTTTATGAAATAAGAATATTGATTTAATATTTTAATAGTGGAATGGGGTGGCTCGAATTTTTTATGGAAGATTTGGGGAAGAAGATGAGATGGAAGCAAAAAGTTATGCGGCTTGATGTGCAATTGGGGTGGCTCGATATTTTTATGGGTATATGAGATATTTCACACATAAAAATTTGTCAAATAAAGTAACGAGAAAAAAAATGTCCTATTTAGCTATTTGTACTTGCACTAACGTTTTGTGTTGATGTAATGCTATTTTTTGTTAATGCATCAACACTTTCTCTCAGTGTAAATTTTTGTTAATGAACTAAAACTTTGTGTCAATGTGAACCATCAAAATATTGACGTGAAATTTTTGGATGAATGAGAGTATGCCATAGCCCATAGCACGTAATTCAATTATTAATAATACTTCTTCCCTCTTAGAGTATTTATCTATTTGTTTTTATTTTTTGTAGTTAACAAGGATCAATATTCGATCTATAATTAAATAAAAATAACATGATATATTAATTCTATAAAAAATAGAGTAAATTCCATAATTGGTCCTTTATAACACGGAGGTTTCCATGTTTAGTCCTTTATTATCAAATATTACCCTTGTAGTCCTTTTTTAAGGGTACCTTTCCACAAATGGTTCTTTTTTTGATTTTCTGCCGTATTGGTGTTAATTTAAAGGCTAAAATTATAATTTGACATCAACATTATGTCTAGTGACGTGTTCTGATATTGATTAAGCGGATAACACAAAAAAAATTAATGATTGTGATTGTGGGCTAAGATTCTGACGAAAGATCACATTTGTAGACTATCGTTGTCGTAAAAAGCGACTGTAATTCACAAGGGATGCATACGGAACAGCCTTTGGAATTGTGTATGACAAAAAAGATACGGAGTATATTAATGTTGTGAAATTGAACTTTTAGCCCTCAAATTAACACCAATATGATAGAAAATCAAAAAAAGGACTATTTGTAGAAAGGTACCCATAAAAGAAGGACCACTGAGATAATATTTGATAATAGAGGACTAAATAGGGAAACCCCTCTATTATAAAAGACCAATTATAAAATTTACTCAAAAAATATTTTGTATTTTTAAAAATATTTTAGAAAATAAAACTATTTTTTATCCATATCTAGTAATTTTTTACTACAAAAAGTCAAAATTTAAAAATATACTCCGTATAAAAATAAAATTTTAAAATGCTCATCTCAGAACAAAATATCTTGAACCGAACATTAATCGAATAGCAAACATGATAGAAACAATTTAGCCCGCATCCATATAACTTTTGTTGAAAATAGTATAATTAAAAAAA